GAATACATTTGTCTATTTTGTATCCTGATGACCTGATGCCGTTACATGTAATACGTTACTCCCTCAGCCTGTTTTCACCCACCTGCAACCGATTCGCTAATAATCACAAATGTTCATTTCTTCGACCCCTTGACTCGACTATTTCTTGTTTAATAATCGTTACATCTCCTCAGGTTTTGAATGGTAAGCTTTAAAAAACACATCATTACACATATACTGGGCTGTGATGAGGATGGATTATGATTACATGCTTTATTAAGCAGCAGTTAAAAGTACTACACAAAAACTGGACAGAATACAATGGAGAACAATGAGATTACTGTGGGTTCCCTTACCCATACAACTGTACTATTTGGTATGCCAGAAACAGATTAAGTCATTAAGCAAAACCTACAAGTCTGCCCTACTGCATATTGCAGTATGGAAGCCAGCATATGTATATGGCTATTCTGACCCACAATACTTTATCGAGCAAGAGGGCAAAGGTAAAGATGCAATGTTGTGATGAAGTAGTGCAGTGGGGCCCTCTGGACCTGATAGTGCAGCAACACAAATTGCATAATGCATAATACCAATTGAGATTTAATAAAAAATCTTACATTGAAATAAATAGTTAAGTTCTTTATAACTACGCATAAAGATACAAAAGAGAAAAAAATTGCATAATTTAAAACAATAATAAACAAGCTATTGTCAGAGTCAGTTATAAAGAATATAAAAGGAGGGCTTACTATTTCCTGCAGTTGATACAATGAATGATATTTACCAATAAACAATGACAATATTACTCATGTCAGACAAAGATATGTTTGAAAATGACTTAAATATATATATATATATATTTATCGTAATTCAAATATGAACGTCAAAAGTCGGAATATGCCAATCTTTTTTTCTTATTATCTTATTTGCTAAACGTTCTTGTATAGTAATATGCATGTGTTGTATTATTCTACTACGTCTATTTATTAATGTTCAGCAATAACCACGTTTTCCCAGTACATCCATGGGACTGACGTTCTTGGGTGGGGTGATTCCGCTTTTGAACAGGAATTTTGTTAGCCAGTGTTCTTGTTTTCCATGTGCTCAATAAAGTTTCTTTAAAAAAAATTCTAAAGAATTCAACCAATCAGAAGTGGACCCACTTGTCTTTTCATCCAATCAGATTCCGCAGCAATTGCGCCGCGTAAGATAGTATAAATAGCCCCGCCTAGAAAAAATACACCTGTTACTTCTTACCCTGGACTCATACAGGCCCTGCTGTGAGAGATAACTTTGCCTTTTCCTCTTCTTTATCGAAACCCTCTGTCTTCACATCTTCAGAAAAATGGTGAGTACGATAGTACAGCTTTTCTCCACTTAGAGGATGTGTATTTAACCAAATGCAGCGCTCTGAACGTCTGTCATCATGCGAAAACGTAACCAGCTTAACGTTTTTTAACCGCTTACTCTTTAAAGACGACGCATCATTTTTATAGTGAAACAAAAATGTTGCGGTATAAGCTGGTAAATCAAGCTTCGTCATTAATAAGTCGTTTTAACTGTGGTGTTGGTAAATTAAGTGTAACTCGACGGCACAGTCAAGATGTTGAAGTGAAGCATTTACAATCGGCCGAATTGTTGGAAATACATATACTTCCTGTCTCATTAGTGGCCAGGTTTAATGGTTTCATATTTAAAACATGATATTAACACAGATAAAACATTTTTTCCCGAATTTCAGTGGACCAGGGCGTTTTTCCAACGTACTGTCTGAAATGATTACTCGCTGCCGACATTTAAATAAAATGAACGCTCTGTCTCCCCAAATCTCGCGAGAGTTCTTTTTCCTGCGACGGATTTGTGTCGACCTCGGTTTAGTGTCTTTACATTACATTGCATTTAGCTGACGCTTTTATCCAAAGCGACTTACAATAAGTGCATTCGACCAAGAAGATACAAACTTGAAGAAAACAGAATCCTATAAGTACATCAGGTTTCATAGAGCCAACACATTTCAAGTGCTACTCAACTGGCTTCAGATAAGCCAGTCCTTTGTTAGTAAGTGCTTTGTTAGTAATGTTATTGCTCAAAGTGGAGTCGAAAGAGATGAGTTTTCAGTCTGCGCCAGAATAGCAAACCGACGTGTTTTCTCTAATGTCTTCACATTAGAGAGATGAGAGACATGGTTCCAATTTTTACTTTATTTAGGTCGAATTAGATGATTATTATGTGTGTTTACTTTCTGGCCTGCCACGCCACTAGTCTCCTAAAGGGGTGTGGCAGTTGCGCAATCCGTGTGAGACAGTTGCAGAAAATGTAAATGCATAGTCTCCTCTCTTAACACTGGCCCACATTCACGTCCAATCGTGCCACCTGTCTGCCAACAACTGCGTCATTGTGCTTTCGGTATTTGACGTATAAACAGTATTTAGCCTCTTTTTGTTTTTAATTATAACTGTCTTTCTGTTCAGATGACAAATGTGTGCGTCAGGTGACTTAAATCATGATATGATGTTTGGTTCTTATTAAAATAGTAATAGAGCAGTCCTCCCACATGTGGTGATATGCCACTAGAATGTATGTTACACACATGCTTTTGCACAAGAATCAGCCACTAGGCTTCCTTTTATGATAGAAGAAGAAGAAGAAGAAGAAGAAGATAGCAAGCGCTCCATCCAGTTTGTGGACTGGTGCCCCACTGGTTTCAAGGTGGGCATCAACTACCAGCCGCCCACTGTAGTTCCTGGTGGAGACCTGGCCAAGGTCCAGAGGGCTGTGTGCATGCTGAGCAACACCACTGCTATTGCAGAGGCCTGGGCTCGGCTGGATCACAAGTTTGATCTGATGTACGCTAAGCATGCCTTTGTGCACTGGTATGTGGGTGAGGGTATGGAGGAGGGAGAGTTCTCTGAGGCCAGGGAGGACATGGCCGCTCTGGAGAAAGATTACGAGGAGGTTGGAGCTGATAGCCTGGGAGATGAGGATGAGGAAGGAGAGGAGTATTAGAAAGCTTTATTGATCTCTGATCCATGCTGTTTTATTAATGTCAAGAAAATAAAGTTGTTCATTGACTGAACCTGAACCTATGCTTTCCTCTCGTCAATGAATACACTGTTAAACATGACCTATCTGCCTAGATGGGTTGTATGTATTCACTTCCTCAGTTCAATCAAAAATGTTTTCACACAGATGCTATTGCTCAATTCAGTCACTTGGAGGCAGTGGTGTTTAACATGTATATATCTTTTCTCTGAACACACCAGGCGTGGCAATCTAGTTAAATGCTAGATTAATCACTACATGATTTCTCAACATCAGATGATTCAAGAGTACCATTTGCATATCTTACATTGACTTATTTAAGATTGGATTTGTGCTTTACGTGAGAAGAACAGAGTCCTAACCCCGGCCTGATCTCAAATAGGGTGTGGTATTCACTCTGGCCCAAGGGAGGGATAGTAGTGAGGCGGGGGGGGGGCTCTCATGCTGGCAGACAGGTGGTGTTTCAAAAGACTTAGTTCTGCTGTTCCCAGACTGGAAAATGAATGAAACTGAAAGCAATACATTAGGAACCATGTAAAGCCAACATTGAAAAGGGCTAAATAGTGTTGTAAGGAGATGAGTGTTTTCACAGGTGTTGTAAACGTTTTTTTATTTTCAGTTTTGTAATCATTCACCATGTTCGGTTACAAATAAATGCTTTTTCTTGACATTAAACGAAACGCATGCCAAATAAGAAATGTATTAACGCTAACTTAATGTGAAATGTCACTTTCTGCGTTAGAACAACTCCCAACCAGTTTGTTCATTTGCAAAGGAAATGAATGTTAAAACCTGTTCTTCTCAAAAGCAATGTGTTAAATGGCTCAAAGATAATATAGCATATCTGGAGGGTGCTCTTCTCATCGTAAGACATGGAGTTAAGAACCATTCAATATGTTTTTCTCCCACAATCATGAGGTAATTGGACTGTTTGGGAAATTAATTAATTTAGCTTTGCATAACTGCCTCTGACAAAAAAAAAAATCATACAACAGAATATTTTGAATGCTGAAAAGATGTGCACTTCAAAATGATACAAAAATACAGACGCACACACACGGTGCCCTCATGCGTACACAAGTTGACGTATTTGGCTCTACTAAAAGGCCCTGAAAATAAGGCATTGTGAATCAGAACGGACGGTTTACTACACTAAAACATACATCAAATTGTTCACAGGCCAAAACATCCACTTCTGTTGTGTATCGATGTAAATTGAGGAACTTACATCATACAGTGATTGTTTTTTTTGTATTAACATAAATCCTTTCTCTTGTTTTGCTCATTCTATTGCAAAACATACACAGCTCTCATTTAAAACCCAACAGGAACATACAGTACTGTGACTCTCATAAGCTTCCTATTGCCCCCTTTTCTACAGCTCCCAAACCAAAGCAGCTAATTGACAATAATGCATATAAATCCCAGTGGAAAGAGAAAGCTCCACAGTGTAGTACACCACAGTCTCAAATGCAATTAGCTGAAATGTAACTGGACCTGCTTTGGAGTCTGAAGAGACAGAGCAGCAGCAAGATGAAAACAAAAAGACTGGCTTAATGTTGGATTGCAGTTTTCTGTTGAAACTTGCAGATATTAAAACAATAACACCAGTAATCTTCACACGTCTGCTGCAGTGTCTCAATCAAGTTTAAGGCACAGTGGAGAGAATATTCAGTTTGTATGTTATTCACTTTCCAATAAACAACAAAGAACTGCATCATCATCTGGGCCTTCGGTCAGTTCATTGTAGAAGTTCTTCACCATCTCAAGCTCAGCACTTACATCTAAAAACCCAAAACATATTGTTTCAAACAAGTGGATTTATTTAATACACTAATGGAAATGTATTTTAAATGAGGATGAAATGTACAGTATTGTTTGTGATGTTGTGTCTCCTTCACCTGGAATGGAGACACCAATTGTTTTGAGTGACAGCTGGATTGATTCCTGCATCGTGCTCTCCACTTTCTCCGGGATCTCCCACTAAATCAACATTGAAATATTGATCACTGAACACTGACATGTGTGCACATGTATGTTTGTGTTGCAGTGTTCCTAGTTTCATTTGACTGCAGGAGGAAATATCAAATGTGACAAAGCATCAGGTCTCTCAGCTGTTTCATCATGGCGTCTTCAGCCTTATCAAACATGACGTCTTTTGAACCATGAACGTGCATTTCAATCGTTCCCCTCATGTTTTTCAGCGTGCCTTCTCCTTTCATTTCTTTTGCTCCTACATCAAACAGAAACATGTTGACATCAAAATGTGTAGAGGTGTATTTCTATGTCTGTAGTGATCTTCTGTCTTCCTGTCAGAGCATTCTTTCATGGTCTCCTCCATTGTTGTTGTCAGGCTGCTGGAGATCCTTCTCTTACGCTCACGGAGGAGTTTCTTGAGGTTTGTTTTCATCTTTTCTTCCTTAGAGAGAGAATGTGAAGCAAATATCAACATCTTTGAAAAAGAACATGTTACAGACTATGCTCATCTTTCCCTTGATTCTTTGTTCCAGATTGTACCTGGAAAAGCAGTACATGATTCAAAGTGATAGCACGTGTTCACCAGCAGGGGGTGCACTTTGCCCAATATCAGAATATTCTATTGTCATCTTGAGAGTTTCCTCATGAACTGGGACAGGGTCCGCTTTACAGCTGCAGGTCATTCTTCAAAGCCATCTCCAGCTCATATTGAGTTATTCCAGTACAATGTATATGAATATGCTGACTGATCAATATGTATTCTATTGATCACCCTTCCACTACAGTCTCCCTGGCCTGGACAAACATGTTTGATCATGGACTAATGAATAGGGTCTTTGACCTCTTGAGAAATGTCAGCTGCAGTTTGACATTTCCGCACTCCTTCTTCCTCATCTCCTCCTCTGTGCCAAGTGGAAATGTATTGATGACCCCGTTGAATGGTTCTCTTTCTCCTTCATTTCTAAAACGTATGAACACAAAGAAATGCTTACATTCAGAAGGCCTTACCACATTTGTATTTCAATAATGTATTTCAATGTATTGTAAAACACAATTGATCCAACACAGGGTTTGATGTGTTTAGTAAGTCATTTCTTACGGGAAGGTCTTCTTCAATTCCTCCTCAATGCTGTCAGTCAAACATGAAGTTAGCTTCATGTTGATGTTTCTTCATTCCCCTTCTCTTGGTTTGTGGATGCCACCATTCTCAACTCCACACTTCAGTGACCTGTGAAGTGCACCACCTTTCTTTGTCTGAAACAACACAGAATGTTGGAAGAGACAGATCCATATTTTGTGCTAAATGAGTCGTTTTGATTTAATTCCAACTGAAATACTTACAGGATAAAGGACCGACTTTAAGACTTCTTCACATGAACTCTTTGATGTTTTAACCCCCCCACTGAGACATCTTTCAAAAGCCATAAGGGTCCATGGGTTCCCTGACTTGATCAAGTTCATGACTCAGCTTCTCTTCAAGTCCTATGGACACAGCCGTCTTTATGTCAGCCTGAAACCATACACAACACATTCATTAGTTAAAGCAATACAACCATCATTCAATAAGTAAGTATTCCCCTTACTGTCGATTGATTTGACAGTGGCTGCGTTTCACTTCGGTTAAATGGATTCCTTGCGTCCCTCACTTGCGTCGTTTCCCTGCGACTAGTCCCTCCCACCAGGGAAGCATGGAGAGACGCAAGGAAACCACGAGAAGCAGGGAAATGAGTTTTAAGAGCAATGGGACGTCCTTTCCTCCGGAGCGTCACGTGAAGCGACGTCCGTTTGTGATGACGCCGCACAGCTGATCGTCTGACAGCAGCCAGCTCTGTCCCCGTTATTTTCACAAACACCCCCGCCTCTGTTAGTACACATTTACTGACACAAACATTTGTATCATCTGTTGTAGACCCAAATAAATAAAATCAAATAAGAACTAATTCTCAAAAAAGATAAACGCCATTCTTAAAATGTATAAACGAATATTAGTTTGCTTAATATTGATTAGAGAGAAGAAAAAGAGATATGTTATCTATCAAAACCCAGTTAGATTAACATTCATTGGATTGCACACTTAGTTTGTTTGTGTGGATATGTAGCAAATTAACATGTTAAATAGCACTTAATGACTGACTGAATGGAAATGACAATAAATGAAAATGTAAAACGAAAAAAGCGATCACGAAAATGTTTCCAATAAATGAATGAAATGATTTTTGTCCACTTTGTTGTTCAGATATATCACATATTTGTAACTGAATGATGCATTCATTGAAACAAAACACTGTATGAACTGAGGAGTGAGTCCCGTGAGTTTCATGTGTTTTCTTCACTCTGCTGGGAAACTCTGCTCTCATGTCAAGAAGCATCAGATCAGTGCATGCGCTGCATTGATTGATTGATTGATTGATTGAAAAGTTTATTAACAGCTTGTATATTGGGTACAGTACAGTACAGCTCAAAACATACAATTGTTAAGGGGATGCAGACCAGAGAAAGACTTTCGTCTTGTTTACATCAGGGTCCCCCATTTCCAATTCATCATATCATTTAAGACATATAAGACATATTTGACATACAGATGGCTTATTTACAATTTACATACAGGTGGTTTTTTACATACAGATGGCTTATTTACAATTTTCATTTTAGATTTCGTTCTAATACATCCTAACCGGACATTTAAGACATACCAAGTCTACAGATATACAGTTAGTAACAGAGTCTAAAATGCGAGTATATACATAGATGGGGGGGGGGAAGCTGTCCATTGTACGACAGGTTGAGATTTGTACCATTACCGGGGCCAGTTTTGCAATGCTTTCCCCCGAAGGTGCTCTTTAAGAGAGGTTTTGAAGGTAAGTATAGTTTTACTTTCCTTTACAGTTGTGGGAAGAGCGTTCCACCTTGATGTGGCATAATTGCGAAACGTGTATTCCCCTTTTTTTGTGCCAAATCTGGGTTTTACATGATTTGTGGAGCTCCCAATCGTCCAATCAGTGAGGGATACACAGTAAGGGGGCGGGGCGAGTATCTGAGGATTTCATCGAAGGATGGTCTGGTGGTTCCTCGATTATAGCTCCTCCATTATCGCTCCTCGCTCCTCGATCCTCGGTCCTCCGGCAAAAAGAAGGCCATTGGGATGCTACTCAAGATGGCGCAGACAAATCAACTTCCGGTGAGACCGAGACCGAGGAGCGAGGAAATGAAAAATAAGAGAAGTGAAACGCAGCCAGTGATATCTCCACTACTCATCAACTCAAAAACACCAGATTATCCTTGTTAATTACACAACATTGATTGGTTTAAATTGTGTGCAATGCTTTTGTATTTTTCCCCTTCCATTCGGAGAAACAAATATTTTTTCGGAGTTTAGGATGGCAGAAGACACTACACTACCCAGAATCCCCAGCTATCGTTTAGGACTTACACCATGTGCTCTGTTTGACAAACCCCGTGATTAGTTCTCAAGCTCTGTGATTGGTTGACCTCCAACTGCATTCCATATGAAAAAAAAAACGTTTCGTAAAAGATGAAATCATACTTTATTCAGCAGTGCTTGCTTTACTCTTTGAAAGTCATCACATGAATGCATTGTAATAAATGGTTCGGCTAAATTAAACATTACACATCTGTCGTAGTTCTTTGTTTATCTACAGAGATCGGGAATCAGAATAGACCGGAAACTATTCTTTTACCGTTCTGTTTTAATTTCACAATAAAGTTAGTAGTAATAATTTGTTTTGATATTATTGTTTTTTATTAACTACTAGACCGCTGGGTCATGTTAAGACCATCTGTTCTGTGTTGCTGTGGGTTTTTTACATCGCTTTTGTGTTACAAATATCAAAACAATAACAGAATATATCCGTCGTAAACTAAACCAGAAACAGCAGTATATTTTATTTTGTTAACACTGTAAACTTGACAGCTTTTTAACCCGCACCTCCTACTGGTTAAAGCACGTTATTACACGTTTAGAGTGATTGCAATGCAGGTAGATTGTGTTGCTTTTTAATGACTGTTTCAAATGCCTTTTTCTTAATGTATTTCATTTTTGTGAAGCACTTTTGAATGTGTTATATTTTATGAAAACATTTAAATATTAAGAGTATATACAAAATAGGAGGAAAGTAGAAGGTCAATGATAGAAATAGTGCCGGATGTACAAAGATATTAATAGGACTATGTGCAAAACAGACAAACTAATTAGGCTTTATTTAAACATTAAATAATACTTTAGGTTAAGGTCTTCTTTTAAATACATGTAAGCAAAAAGCTTTGGGGGTATCTATATTAAGCCTGACAAAGTACTTAACGTTTAATATATTGCATGGTTTGTTTTGGGACTTGACAATCAACTTTCCTGCAATGTTAACTATGTTGAAGCACTTATTTTAACCGATATTATACATATTTATTATACTCTTATAAGACGTATGTAGATAGAATAAGAAATGTGCAGAATATGACAGTTTAATGGTGGAGATACACACATATTGATAGATCTCTTGTTGAGGGGGAGCAGTTTTTGTAGCAGTCGCATACAAGAATATCAGCAGAGCAGGGGTGAATGTTTCTTTGGATACAATGACAAATCGTGGTCCCTATTCATTTCTTTACAACAGTATCAACACTCCCGTCTCAGGTCCTCAGTCCTCCAGAGTAGGAGTGTACCTTCAAGGTTCAAGGTTCAAGGTTCTTTATTGTCAATCTGACATAGCTACAGAGTAATTATGCAGTTGAAAATCTTATGTCCCAGGCTTCTCCAACAATGCAACATAATAACATAACATAATAACAATAAGAGCATGAGCAATACAAAAATAATAATAGTTATAAAAATGAAATAAAGTTATGATGTGGAATAGTGCAATAGAGTCTATATACAAGTTATTGGAATGATATATATATATTAGGTATTAGATACATACTACTGAGTAGCAGATGAATGTTTGATGTTGTTTCAACAGTTCAATTTTTTAACAGTCTCACTGCCCGCGGGAAGAAACTGTCTCCGAATCTTCTTGTCCTTGCCAGGATGCTGCGGTAACGTCTGCCAGACGGCAACAGAAAGAACAGTTTGTGGCTGGGGTGATGGGGGTCTTTGATAATCCGTAGTGATTTCTTCCTGAGCCGCTGGGAGTAAAGGTCCTCCATGGATGGCAGCTCCGTCCTGGTGATGTGCTGTGCAGTTTTCACCACCCTCTGTAAAGCCTTACGATCGAGGTCGGTGCAGCTGCCGTACCAGGCCGTCATGCTGCCAGTCAGGATCCTCTCTATCGTGCACCTGTAGAAGTTGCAGAGTATCCTGGAGTCCATTTTGAACCTCCTCAACCTGCGGAGGAAGAAGAGCCGCTGTCGAGCTTTCTTGGTGATGGTGGTGGTGTGAAGAGACCATGTCAGGTCCTCAGTGATGTGGACCCCAAGGAACCTGAAGCTTTTGACTCTCTCCACCGTAGTCCCATTGATGGCGATGGGGGCGTGTCCCTCTCCCTGCTGCTTCCTGTAGTCCACAATCAGCTCCTTTGTTTTGCTGATGTTGAGATGGAGGTTGTTATCCTGGCACCAAGATGTCAGGTTTTCGACCTCCTCTCTGTACGCCGTCTCGTCATCGTCTGTGATCTGGCCGATGACGGTCGTGTCATCAGCAAACTTCACGATGGTGTTGGAGCTGTGTGTGGCCACGCAGTCGTGGGTGAACAGGGAGTAGAGGAGAGGGCTGAGCACGCAGCCTTGAGGGGCACCGGTGTTGAGAATCAGGGTGGAGGATGTGATATTTCCCACCCGCACTGCCTGGGGTCTGCCCGTCAGGAAGTTCAGGATCCAGTCACAGAGGGCGCTGTTGAGCCCGAGGTCTCTGAGCTTGATGGCCAGCTTGGAGGGAAACAATGGTATTGAATGCTGAACTGTAGTCAATGAACAGCATTCTCACATATGTGTTCCTGTTCTTCGGGTCCAGGTGTGAGAGGGCAGTGTGGAGGGTGAGGGCTATGGCGTCGTCTGTGGACCTGTTTGCTCTGTAGGCAAACTGCAGGGGGTCCAGAGATTCAGGGAGGGAGGAGGTGATGAATAATTTGACTAACCGCTCAAAGCACTTCATTATGATGGAGGTGAGTGCTGCTGGGCGGTAGTCGTTGGGGCAGGTGATGATTGTCCTGGATCACAGAGCAGGTGTTCTGTGCTTCTACAGCGTCTCTGAAACCATGACTCTCCTCCACAGAGTGCAGACCACATTCACTCAGCCGCTACATGCTGGACTTTGGCTTTATTATATTGATGGAGACACTGCTGAGTTTTGTAAACTCAAATAGCCTGAAGTCATTGGAGGAACTCTTCTACTTCTTAAACTCACCGTGTGTCCATCAGAGCTGATTGTTCATGTCTTCACTGTGCAGAGATCAGCTGTCAATCAAACATGATGGGTGGGGCTTGAACATCTTCTCATGAGTTGTTCTGTAGATGTTGGACTTTCTTCCGGCTCCTTCCTGGGTCTGTTTAGCCATGGAGGCTGTCACTGCTCAGGAGGA